AACACGCTACATTGACCACTCCTAGTCACTGACACACGCTACATTCACCACCCCTACTCACTGACACACGCTACATGCACCACCCCTAGTCACTGAAACACGCTACATTCACCACCCGTAGTCACTGACACATGCTACATTCACCACCCCTAGTCACTGAAACACGCTACATTGACCACCCCTAGTCACTGACACATGCTACATTGACCACCCCTAGTCACTGAAACACGCTACATTCACCAACCCTACTCACTGACACACGCTACATTCACCACCCCTACTCACTGACACACGCTACATTCACCATCCCTAGTCACAGACACACGCTACATTCGCCACTCCTTGTCACTGACACACGCTACATTCACCACCCCTAGTCACTGAAACACGCTACATTCTCCACCCCTACTCACTGAAACACGCTACATTCACCACCCGTAGTCACTGACACATGCTACATTCACCACCCCTAGTCACTGAAACACGCTACATTGACCACCCCTAGTCACTGACACATGCTACATTGACCACCCCTAGTCACTGAAACACGCTACATTCACCAACCCTACTCACTGACACACGCTACATTCACCACCCCTACTCACTGACACACGCTACATTCACCATCCCTAGTCACAGACACACGCTACATTCGCCACTCCTTGTCACTGACACACGCTACATTCACCACCCCTAGTCACTGAAACACGCTACATTCTCCACCCCTACTCACTGACACACGCTACATTCGGCACTCCTTTTCACTGACACACGTTACATTCACCACCCCTAGTCACTGACACACGTTACATTCACCACCCCTAGTCACTGACACACGTTACATTCACCATCGACTGTTCACTGAGATGCTTCATTCACCACCGAATGTTGATTGTATCGTTACATTCACCATCGATTGTTTCCTAAAACGCTACATTCACAACTGTTCACTGAGAGACGCTACATTCACCATCGACTGTTCACTGAGAGACGCTACATTCACCACCGAGTGTTTACTGAGACGCTACATTCACCACCAAGTATTCACTGAGACGCTACATTAGCCACTGACTGTTTACTGAGACGCTACATTCACCACCGGGTGTTCACTGAGACGCTACATTCACCACCAAGTGTTCACTAAGAGACGCTACATTCACCACAGAGTGTTTACTGAGACCCTACATTCACCACCGATTGTTCACTGAGAGACGCTACATTCACCACCGAGTGTTTACTGAGACGCTACATTAACCACCGAATGTTCCTTGAGACGCTACATCCACCACCGAGTGTTCACTGAGAGACGCTACATTAACCACCGAGTGTTCACTGAGACGCTACATTCACCACCGAGTGTTCACTGAGAGACGTTACATTCACCACCGAGTGTGTACTGAGACGCTACATTCACCACCGAGTGGTCACTGAGAGACGCTACATTCACCACCGAGTGTTTACTGAGACGCTACATTCACCACCGAGTGTTTACTGAGACGCTACATTCACCACCGATTGTTCACTGAGAGACGCTACATTCACCACCGAGTGTTTACTGAGACGCTACATTAACCACCGAATGTTCCTTGAGACGCTACATCCACCACCGAGTGTTCACTGAGAGACGCTACATTAACCACCGAGTGTTCACTGAGACGCTACATTCACCACCGAGTGTTCACTGAGAGACGTTACATTCACCACCGAGTGTGTACTGAGACGCTACATTCACCACCGAGTGTTCACTGAGAGACGCTACATTCACCACCGAGTGTTTACTGAGACGCTACATTAACCACCGAATGTTCCTTGAGACGCTACATCCACCACCGAGTGTTCACTGAGAGACGCTACATTAACCACCGAGTGTTCACTGAGACGCTACATTCACCACCGAGTGTTCACTGAGAGACGTTACATTCACCACCGAGTGTGTACTGAGACGCTACATTCACCACCGAGTGTTCACTGAGAGACGCTACATTCACCACCGAGTGTTTACTGAGACGCTACATTCACCACCGAGTGTTTACTGAGACGCTACATTCACCACCGATTGTTCACTGAGAGACGCTACATTCACCACCGAGTGTTTACTGAGACGCTACATTAACCACCGAATGTTCCTTGAGACGCTACATCCACCACCGAGTGTTGACTTAGACGCTACATTCACCACCGAGTGTTTACTGAGAGAGGCTACATTCACCACCGAGTGTTCACTGAGAGACGTTACATTCACCACCGAGTGTGTACTGAGACGCTACATTCACCACCGAGTGGTCACTGAGACGCTACATTCACCACCGAATGTTCCTTGAGACGCTACATTCACCACCGACTGTTGACTTAGACGCTACATTCACCACAGAGTGTTTACTGAGAGAGGCTACATTCACCACCGACTGTTTACTGAGACGCTACAATCACCATTGACTGTTTACTGAGACGCCAAATTCACCATGGACTGTTTACTGAGACGCTACATTCACCATTGACTGTTCACTGAGACGCTACATTCACCATTGACTGTTCACTGAGCCGCTACATTCACCTCCGACTGTTCAATGAGACGCTACATTCACCTGTGAATGTTCACTGAGACGCTACATTCACCATCGAGTGTTCACTAAGACGCTACATTCACCACCGAATGTTGACTGAATCGCTACATTCACCACCGACTGTTTACGGAGGCGCTACATTCACTATTGACTTTTTACTGAGACTTTACATTCACCATTGACTGTTTACTGAGAGGCTACATTCACCACCGAATGTTGACTGAATCGCTACATTCACCACCGACTGTTTACGGAGACGCTACATTCACCATTGACTTTTTACTGAGACTCTACATTCACCATTGACTGTTTACTGAGACGCTACATTCACCACCGAATGTTCCTTGAGATGCTACATTCACCACCGAGTGTTCACTTAGACGCTACATTCACCACCGAGTGTTTACTGAGAGGCGCTACATTCACCAGAGAGTGTTCACCGACACGCTACATTCACCACCGAGTGTTCACTGAGACGCTTCATTCACCATCGAGTGTTCACTTAGACGCTACATTCACCACCGAGTGTTTACTGAATCGCTACATTCACCAGCGAGTGTTTACTGAGACGATACATTCACCACCGAGTGTTCACTGAGACGCTGCATTCACCGCCGACTGTCCTCTCGTCACTGACATACGGTATATTCACCGCCGACTGTCCTCTAGTCACTGACATACGGTATATTCACCGCCGACTGTCCTCTCGTCACTGACATACGGTAAATTCACCGCCGACTGTCCTCTATTCACTGACATACGGTACATTCACCGCCGACTGTCCTCTAGTCACTGACATACGGTACATTCACCGCCGACTGTCCTCTAGTCACTGACATACGGTACATTCACCGCCGACTGTCCTCTCGTCACTGACATACGGTATATTCACCGCCGACTGTCCTCTATTCACTGACATACGGTATATTCACCGCCGACAGTCCTCTCGTCACTGACATACGGTATATTCACCGCCGACTGTCCTCTAGTCACTGACATACGGTATATTCACCGCCGACTGTCCTCTAGTCACTGACATACGGTATATTCACCGCCGACTGTCCTCTAGTCACTGACATACGGTATATTCACCGCCGACTGTCCTCTAGTCACTGACATACGGTATATTCACCGCCGACTGTCCTCTAGTCACTGACATACGGTACATTCACCCCCGACTGTCCTCTCGTCACTGACATACGGTATATTCACCCCCGACTGTCCTCTCGTCACTGACATACGGTATATTCACCACCGACTGTTTACTGAGACGCTACATTCACCGCCGACTGTCCTCTAGTCACTGACATACCGTATATTCACCGCCGACTGTCCTCTAGTCACTGACATACGGTATATTCACCGCCGACTGTCCTCTAGTCACTGACATACGGTATATTCACCGCCGACTGTCCTCTAGTCACTGACATACGGTATATTCACCGCCGACTGTCCTCTAGTCACTGACATACGGTATATTCACCGCCGACTGTCCTCTAGTCACTGACATACGGTATATTCACCGCCGACTGTCCTCTAGTCACTGACATACGGTATATTCACCGCCGACTGTCCTCTAGTCACTGACATACGGTATATTCACCGCCGACTGTCCTTTAGTCACTGACATACGGTATATTCAGCGCCGACTGTCCTCTCGTCACTGACATACGGTATATTCAGCGCCGACTGTCCTCTCGTCACTGACATACGGTATATTCACCGCCGACTGTCCTCTAGTCACTGACATACGGTATATTCACCACCGAGTGTTCACTGAGACGCTGCATTCACCGCCGACTGTCCTCTAGTCACTGACATACGGTATATTCACCGCCGACTGTCCTCTAGTCACTGACATACGGTATATTCACCGCCGACTGTCCTCTAGTCACTGACATACGGTATATTCACCGCCGACTGTCCTCTAGTCACTGACATACGGTATATTCACCGCCGACTGTCCTCTCGTCACTGACATACGGTATATTCACCGCCGACTGTCCTCTAGTCACTGACATACGGTATATTCACCGCACCCTCTTCACTGTTAAAGGTCGATTTACCGCTCCCTGGTCACTGTCACACTGTTCGTGTCCTCCATGTGTTTGCCCATTGTGATCGTCCCCGTTACCGAACAGACTGCTGCAGGCGGCATCCACTCACTTCCTACAGCAGCTCCCCGTACATCAGGTAAATCACACTTCGTGGGTTGTACGTCCGCCAGACACGTTGTACCGTTGTGGAAGTCGAACCCAGGTCTTCAGGGCAATGAGTTAACGCGCTAACTGCCTCGCTTCACAGCTGCCCCTTACTGTGTAGATGTTTAAGGACACGCAACTGGAGACATGAACCCTGTAGTGAGACTCGTGTTGTAAGCACCCGTCGTTACTGTTGCAGACTAATAACCGGCTTCTTACCCCCTCTGTTGTCAAGATATCCCCACCTGTCCACCGGGAGCAGTAACACGCAGGGGAGCTAACTCTTCCTCGTGCTACACTTTCCACACAACTCCTAAACCCTGGTACAAGAGTGCTGAGGCCTGCCGGCAAGAGGGCGCCACCTCACACCTGGTGGCGATCACATCTAAGGAAGAGCAGGACTTCATTGTGAGCAGCATCAAACAAAGTGCTGGTACGTTCAGGCTGCGCATGCTCACGTAGATGTTCACTGTAACTTTCAGGGAAGTGTCTGTCCGGTGAACGAGCTGCAGTTGGTGAGATGCACAGTTTCAACATATACCTTTATTACTTGCCTTGTGTCATTTTCCTTCACTCAACACTAAGTCAAACAGGTCAACTTGACGTGACGATTTCTTCTGTAATAGCTGTGTGTGATATTCTAACTTGTAGGGTATTTTATACGCCTTCCTAATGTGACATCATCTACAAATAAAAACAGTGAACGGGGAAAGGTGGGGTTAGGTGAAATGGGGTTTAACGTCGCGTCCAAGATTATTGCACTTATATAGCGACGTGCATGTACGTGTGTGTGTGTGTTTGTGTGGCTGCTTGTACTAGTCCGGACTGATGCCGATTTATAGTGCTAGCTCACTGAGATACCATGCCGCAGTTTAAGATGAATACCCAACTCAGACACAGTATACTGACTCCGAGCCGACCAGTCCTTGTTTTAGCCCCTTAATGCCGAGCGCCAGACAGGGTAACAACAAGTACCATCTTTTAACGTCTTTTGGTATGACGCGGCCGGGGATCGAATCCCGGACCTTCCGCTCTAATTACTCAGACATAATGTAACAGTATGTCTACATTGTAATTACTCGGACATATTGTAACAGTATGTCTACATTGTAATTACTCAGACATAATGTAACAGTATGTCTACATTGTAATTACTCAGACTTTAGTCTACCATGACATGCCGTGTTATTTGTATGCGCGATGCGTCACTTCACAGCCATTCTTTGTTCTTAGTGTTGAATGCAGCTGGTAGCTATGGCTGGTACACAACCGGAAATGACGAAGGGTACGAGGGTCATTTCGATTGGACAGATACCGGCACTCCCTACCACAGTGCGTACAGCGACTGGCATCAGGGACAGCCCAACAACGTTGCCAACGACCAGGACTGTCTACTGCTTCAATACGCTAGCGCCAACTACGAATGGGGAGACGTCGGATGCGACGAGGCCCACCCCTATATCTGTGAAGTAGACCTGCCTGTAGTTTAAGGCAACACAGTTAATGTAACAGTATATCTACATTGTAATTACTCGGGCAAAATGTAACAGTATGTCTACATTGTAATTACTCAGACACAATGTAACAGTGTGTCTACATTGTAATTACTCAGACACAATGTGACAGTATGTCTACATTGTAATTACTCAGACACAATGTAACAGTATGTCTACATTGTAATTACTCGGACCCAATGTAACAGTATGCCTACATTGTAATTACTCGGACATATTGTAACAGTATGTCTACATTGTAATTACTCGGACATATTGTAACAGTATGTCTACATTGTAATTACTCAGACATAATGTAACAGTATGTCTACATTGTAATTACTCGGACATATTGAAACAGTATGTCTACATTGTAATTACTCAGACATAATGTAACAGTATGTCTACATTGTAATTACTCAGACACAATGTAACAGTATGTCTACATTGTAATTACTCGGACATAATGTAACAGTATATCTACATTGGAATTACTCGGAAATAATGTAACAGTATATCTACATTGTAATTACTCGAACGTAATGTAACACTATATCTACATTTTAATAACTCAGACATAATGTAACAGTATGTCTACATTGGAATTACTCGGAAATAATGTAACAGTATATCTACATTGTAATTACTCGGACATATTGTAACAGTATGTCTACATTGTAATTACTTAGACATAATGTAACAGTATATCTACATTGGAATTACTCGGAAATAATGTAACAGTATATCTACATTGTAATTACTCGGACATAATGTAACATTATATCTACATTGTAATTACTCGAACATAATGTAACACTCTATCTACATTGTAATTACTCGGACATAATGTAACAGTATATCTACATTGTTATTACTCGAACATAATGTAACACTCTATCTACATTGTAATTACTCGGACATAATGTAACAGTATATCTACATTGTAATGACTCGGACATAATGTAACAGTATATCTACATTGTAATTACTCGAACATAATCTAACACTCTATCTACATTGTAATTACTCGGACATAATGTAACAGTATATCTACATTGTAATTACTTGGACATAATGTAACAGTATATCTACATTGTAATTACTCGGACATATTGCAACAGTATATCTACATTGTAATTACTTAGACATAATGTAACAGTATATCTACATTGGAATTACTCGGAAATAATGTAACAGTATATCTACATTGTAATTACTCAGACATAATGTAACAGTATGTCTACATTGTAATTACTCGGACATAATGTAACAGTATGTCTACATTGTAATTACTCAGACATAATGTAACAGTATGTCTACATTGTAATTACTCAGACACAATGTAACAGTATGTCTACATTGTAATTACTCGGACATAATGTAACAGTATATCTACATTGGAATTACTCGGAAATAATGTAACAGTATATCTACATTGTAATTACTCGAACGTAATGTAACACTATATCTACATTTTAATAACTCAGACATAATGTAACAGTATGTCTACATTGGAATTACTCGGAAATAATGTAACAGTATATCTACATTGTAATTACTCGGACATATTGTAACAGTATGTCTACATTGTAATTACTTAGACATAATGTAACAGTATATCTACATTGGAATTACTCGGAAATAATGTAACAGTATATCTACATTGTAATTACTCGGACATAATGTAACATTATATCTACATTGTAATTACTCGAACATAATGTAACACTCTATCTACATTGTAATTACTCGGACATAATGTAACAGTATATCTACATTGTTATTACTCGAACATAATGTAACACTCTATCTACATTGTAATTACTCGGACATAATGTAACAGTATATCTACATTGTAATGACTCGGACATAATGTAACAGTATATCTACATTGTAATTACTCGAACATAATCTAACACTCTATCTACATTGTAATTACTCGGACATAATGTAACAGTATATCTACATTGTAATTACTTGGACATAATGTAACAGTATATCTACATTGTAATTACTCGGACATATTGCAACAGTATATCTACATTGTAATTACTCGGAAATAATGTAACAGTATATCTACATTGTAATTACTCGGACATAATGTAACAGTATATCTACATTGTAATTACTCGAACATAATGTAACACTCTATCTACATTGTAATTACTCGGACATAATGTAACATTATATCTACATTGTAATTACTTGGACATAATGTAACAGTATATCTACATTGTAATTACTCGGACATATTGCAACAGTATATCTACATTGTAATTACTCGGACATATTGCAACAGTATATCTACATTGTAATTACTCGGACATAATGTAACAGTATATCTACATTGTAATTACTCGGACATAATGTAACAGTATATCTACATTGTAATTACTTGGACATAATGTAACAGTATATCTACATTGTAATTACTCGGACATAATGTAACAGTATATCTACACTGTAATTACTCGGACATAATGTTGCAGTATATCTACATTGTTACACCACATACTTAATTTAATAGTGTTTCTGCATTGTAACACCGCGTACCTTAATGTAACAGCGACGGCATTGAATAAATTAATCTACAATCGACCCATTTGTTACAGTTTTCCTTCCAATGTTGATTCTCGCAATTCTCTGTAAGTTGAAAGGTGATTTTGTACAGTTTTACCCCGCCTCTGTCAGTGGTCTCTGTGTTGCACTCCCCATCGTGACATTCCGAGGAAAGAACCGATTCCCAGTGCCTCATGCTTGTCGAACCGATGAGACGCGATGGCCGGGTAGAATGGAGGTCGACGTGCACCGATGGCTTGGCTCGATCATCATGATTCCATTATTTACAGGCACTAGTGGTACAGCTTGAATACTGCTGACAATGGGGTTACACAAGGTCTAGTCTCACATACACTTCAACTTGACACCGTTCACCGTGCGAGGACCACATCAACACAACAAAACATAAATGCATCAATATCAACACATTACTACTTCAGTACATCAATCCATCACTTTCAACACATCAATATGTCAGTACATCAATACATCAATATCAACACATCAATACATCAATATCAACACACCAATACTTCGGTACATCAATTCATCAATATCAACACATCAATACTTCAGTACATCAATACATCAATATCAACACATCAATACTTCAAGCCATCAGTATCAACACATCCATACATCAATATCAAAACACCAATACTTCGTTACATCAATATCAACACACCAATACATCAATATAAACACACCAATACCTCAGTACATCAAAATCAACACATCAATACTTCAGTACATCAATACATCAATATTGACACAGCAATACTTCAGTACATCAATACTTCAGTAAATCAATGTCAACACATCAATATTTCAGTACATCAATATCAACACATCAATACTTCAGGGCATTAATAAATGAGGCGACGACACACAGGCTTGCAAAATAATTTAACAAAAAGGGGAAAAACCTAGATGGTCTTGTGAAATGTTTCACCCTGATTCACCCTGGACTCTCTTGACAGGCCTTGACGTCCACACGAAGGTCATGCGAACGTCAACATGAGGCAGCATGGCAGATTCGGGGCTCTGTCTGTGGTGCTTTGAGGCGGGGTCACTATGACTGTCAGAACGCCACTGCATATTGCCCCTGGAAGGGTCACCGGACAGTTCGACCAAGTCAACATACTGCCGTCAATAGTAGCACCGATTGCGCGCCATGCTGGTCCTAGTGTTGTCTTTCAAGACGATAATGCTCGTGATAACACAACCTAAGTATGGATTAAGATAAATTTATTAAATAAAGTTAAAGATTATACTGATAAATAACTAAACAGCTTTCGTACTCACACCAAATCAACTAGTTTTCAATAAATATCACCCTTCACACACTTCACATTCACTCTGTCACTCTAACATTCACTTTCCAAATACTTAAGGTTCTCACAATTAATGATAGTAAAACACAAAACAGTGTCAAATAACGAATTTTAGTAACAGAATTTCCATGTGAAATATGTGAGGTTAGTGTTGGAAAATCCAAGATGGCTGTCACTGACGGTATACGGTCTCATATCAGGCCTTGGATTTTTACTGACGGTATACGGGCTCATGTGGGGGTTAGTGGTTCTGCTCTCTGATTGGTCAATCTCACTTTGAGGCATAATAAAAAGTACTATTCTTTGATAAATATGAACAGTTACTCTGGTCCAAAACGACGTATACTTTGGTAAATAAAGTGTGTACTGTACAGATTAAGGATATACATGTTATACCCACTGGATGCAGTATGGTAATAGTGACACAATGGTACAGTTACACACAGGCTTCGATCAAAATGAAAGAAGCTCGAGGACTGTGTAATGTAATGATGTGCACGCTATTTTAACGGATGAGGTATTGAAGAATAAGATGCACTTAAATTCAGTAAAAGCTTAACATGTGATTGCCAAAACCTATGCTGAGATCATTCGTGTTTGTCGGAATCGCGGAGCGAAAGAATATGGAAGTCTGTTATAAGGATTAGAGGTTAGGATCCCTGCACCTCTCGCCAGCTTACAATGACACGTCAATGAGTCACACTGGAGGCACAATACGTTGGTAGCTGAGGGAGGGTTCCGTGCACAACATGGTGGATGCAGGGACCTCGCTCTTTGTGTTCTTGTTGGAGTTTTTTTAATGGAATTACAAAATATTCGAAAACAGTGATGCCAATGTCGTCCTTCCTTTTCACCAAAGAGACAGTTCCTTGGGGAGAGGTAAGTGTTACAAGCACGGGACTGTGGGAACCTGTCTATCCCGGAATCCCCGAGGAAGTAATATCAAAGTATATAATCCAGTCAGTTCAATTCAATTCCTTATTCAAAATGTAATTTAGGCCATCGACCCATGATTACAATAATAATGGCTCCAGTCAAGCATACACAGCATTTTGAAGTAACATGTTGCAAGTTCCACAGTACCAAAACCATCACTTCAGACTGATAAAGAAATATTTCATTTATTTTACGTTGATAATTTCACATTTGTCAAACGGCAAAGATGTTGGTTACAGACAAGGAACAAATATGTCAAATTAACAATATACGGATCTAACAATAAGGAGAACAATTCGAATGCTGCATGAGTTTCAACAAAACGATGATGACAGTAATTACCAAACCCTTGCACTCAAATGCCACTCGGATGTCAAAGTTGTCGCAGCGCATTGAAATTTTGCATGCGGGTAGACCTTGACCTGGAGGTCACGTTTCCACCGTTCTTGACCCCAGATCACCTCTGTGAGCGGAGCTATGGGCTCCATTATTCAACTGTAACATTGGCTCCAAAGTGAAAAATGTTTCTTTGAGAATGCTCCATTTGACCTAAGGAGTCGTCCTGCAAAGTCTGAGACTCCTACGGCGATTTGACATTTTTGGTCGAAAATGCATATAAGGCTAACACCTGGCGCTCAAATGCCACTCGGATGTCAAAGTTGTCGCAGCGCATTGAAATTTTGCATGCGGGTAGACCTTGACCTGGAAGTCACGTTTCCACCGTTCTTGACCCCAGATCATCTCTGTGAGCGGAGCTATGGGCTCCATTATCCGACTGTAACATTGGCTCCAAAGTGAAAAATGTTTCGTTGAGAATGCTCCATTTGACCTAAGGAGTCGTCCTGCAAAGTCTGAGACTCCTACGGCGATTTGACATTTTTGGTCGAAAATGCATATAAGGCAACACCTGGCGCTCAAATGCCACTCGGATGTCAAAGTTGTCGCAGCGCATTGAAATTTTGCATGCGGGTAGACCTTGACCTGGAGGTCACGTTTCCACCGTTCTTGACCCCAGATCACCTCTGTGAGCGGAGCTATGGCTCCATTATTCAACTGTAACATTGGCTCCAAAGTGAAAAATGTTTCTTTGAGAATGCTCCATTTGACCTAAGGAGTCGTCCTGCAAAGTCTGAGACTCCTACGGCGATTTGACATTTTTGGTCGAAAATGCATATAAGGCTAACACCTGGCGCTCAAATGCCACTCGGATGTCAAAGTTGTCGCAGCGCATTGAAATTTTGCATGCGGGTAGACCTTGACCTGGAGGTCACGTTTCCACCGTTCTTGACCCCAGATCACCTCTGTGAGCGGAGCTATGGGCTCCATTATCCAACTGTAACATTGGCTCCAAAGTGAAAAATGTTTCGTTGAGAATGCTCCATTTGACCTAAGGAGTCGTCCTGCAAAGTCTGAGACTCCTACGGCGATTTGACATTTTTGGTCGAAAATGCATATAAGGCAACACCTGGCGCTCAAATGCCACTCGGATGTCAAAGTTGTCGCAGCGCATTGAAATTTTGCATGCGGGTAGACCTTGACCTGGAGGTCACGTTTCCACCGTTCTTGACCCCAGATCACCTCTGTGAGCGGAGCTATGGGCTCCATTATCCAACTGTAACATTGGCTCCAAAGTGAAAAATGTTTCTTTGAGAATGCTCCATTTGACCTAAGGAGTCGTCCTGCAAAGTCTGAGACTCCTACGGCGATTTGACATTTTTGGTCGAAAATGCATATAAGGCTAACTAACACCTGGCGCTCAAATGCCACTCGGATGTCAAAGTTGTCGCAGCGCATTGAAATTTTGCATGCGGGTAGACCTTGACCTGGAGGTCACGTTTCCACCGTTCTTGACCCCAGATCACCTCTGTGAGCGGAGCTATGGGCTCCATTATCCAACTGTAACATTGGCTCCAAAGTGA